AAGACACATTTGACCACACCTTCTACTTCCTTCTGTTCTTCTTACCCAGAGACATACAATGTTTCAGGGTTTCGCCAGAATAAAGTGCAGTGTTGAGCTCTCAGTGACTGAAGGAATCCCCCCACCCCAAGTTTCTCTGAAAACCAGGGAACTCTTTCTTATTTAAAGCCCAGTCCCTGGGACTCTGGCCACATCCACCTCTCTCCTTCCCAGCATCATGGCCAATTTGTCATTCTTTCTAAATTTCTCAATTTCACCCATGAAGGCAGGGGGACCTTTTTCAAGAGAGTCACAGATTTTCCAGTAAATAGTACTGGCAGATCACAGTTTTTCCAGCAACTTAAAAAGATATATAAATAATTTAAAAATTTAATGTTCTTCTCCATAGGAAAAAAAAATATCTGGCATATCAACTGCAGAGATGTTAAGTGCATTTTAGTTCTCAGAAAATACACCGTGTGTCAGGTACATAATTTCATTTAGCCTATTGAGCAGAGCAAGCTATTGTGAGGGGGTCTGTCATGTCTCCATTATTCCCAACCCCTATTGGAGTTTAATCACATTCAGGGCTATTTGCAACTATGGTTTCCCATTTCAAATGACATTAGGTTAAAATTAAGCCTATAACTTATACTTTGGGATTTAATATGCAACGTTTTCCATCAGCATATTATACTGGTTAAGTTGCTTTTGAGCAATGTAAAGGAAAAATAAAATAAAAATATCCAACTTAGTGTGAGAACTTGAGAACCACTCATTTTGTAATTTTCCTGAAGGTCATGTCCAGTAGGGAAATACCTGGGAGGGCCACTCATCTTTCATTGGCGGTGTGGCTGGAATCCCATCAATCTCATACCAATGTCTGTGAAAAGGTCAACTGCCCCTCTCGAGGCAATGAGTGTTTGTTTCTTTTTAAGATTTTATTTTATTTTTAACTGTATTATTATTATTTTATTGTTAAGGAATCCAGTTCTATGACTGTCGTGAAATAGAGCCCAGGCTGGGTTAACAGTCATGAGTCTTAGAGGTAACTACACCGGACTCTAGACTTTCTGGTTATAAGCACTGGCTTCTCTCTCTACCTCAGCTGAAAACCCAAACTCATGAGGCCTCAATCCCTGACTCCCTATTCCCAGAAGATGCCAAAGCCAACTATGTAGGAGGCTTTTTCAGAGGAGAAGACAACTTTGCTTTCCTTTTTGAGGCAGGCAGCAACCCCAAACCATGGACGGGTTGGGACCTGGGCAGGCCTCAATGGTTAAAGATTTTATCTTTAAGTAATCTCCCCACCCACTGTGGGGCTCAAACTCACAACCCAAGATCAAGAGTCACACACTCCACCAACTGAGCCAGCCAGGGGCCCCAAGGCAATGAGTCTTTTTGAAATAATGGTTTGGGCTGGCTCCTGGGTTCCCCGTGGTCTCTGACTTCCCCATGGTCTCTGACTTCACATAGAGCTGCCAGTGAGAATTGCACAGGTTGGGAATGGTGCCTCCTGGAGTTGTGCAGTGCACAACCTACATAACTATGGTTCTGCTTCAGGGAGCTTACATGGGTAGAAGAAGAGAATGGCGGAGTACAAATAGCTGGGAGTTTCTTCAACAGTGGTCCTGCCTTTATGGACATTGAGTCCCTCTTGGCTCCATTCCAATGGAGAGGGCTAAGGGCACTAAATGTGCCACTGCCACCATATGGTTCAAAAAGATCCCACATGTCATATTGACGGCTGGGTCTGTAACCATGATGCACAAAAAAACCCCACCCACCCCCCAAAAAACCCAGAAACAAAACAAAACAACAACAAACCACAATACAACTGTAAGTTTGCTCTACTTCTATGTGCTCAGAAAAATGGCTCCCAGGTCTCTACACAGGAAGCACCATAATCTCATGGTAGCCAGAGAACCCATGTCCTGCACACCCCCGGCTAAGGCTGAACCACTAGCTCCCACTGCTTATGAGGCACCACAACACCCAGGCATTCAGGAGCCCCTTCTGTCACTTCTCTTGTCCACACCCCCAGGCTCCTTGGGTTTTTCCTATACTTCTGCCCTCTGCCGAATGCTGGATTCAGTATAGACAGCACTCAGTTCCTTGAGGTCCCTGAGGAGATTCTGGGTCTATCAGAGAGAAACATCTACAAGGTAATGGCGTTCTCTTGTGAATCAGTTGTATGTTACCAAAAACCCTTACTATGGACTGAATTAGTGTGTCTTTCCCAAATTCACATGTGGAAACCCAAATCCCCAATGTGATGGTATTTGGAGATGGGGCCTTTGGGAGGCAGTTATGGTTAGATTAGGTCATGAGGGTGGGACTTCATGATGGAATTAATGCCTTTAAAAAAAAAAAAGATTTATTTATTAGAGAGAGAGTGCACAAGCCAGGGGAGCGGCAGGCAGAGGGAGAATCAGGCTCCCCGCTGAGCAGGGAGCCCGATTTCGGGGCTGGATCCCAGGACCCTGGGATCATGACCCGAGCCCAAGGCAGATGCCCAACCGACTGAGCCACCCAGGCACTCCTGGAATTAACGTCTTTATAAGAAGAGCAAGAGACTTGAGATCCCTCTTTCTCTCCCTGCCATGTGAAGATACAGGGAGAAGGTGGCCATCTATAAACCAGGAAGCAGGCCCTTACCAAGAACCCAACCATGCTGGCTTCCTGACCTTGGACTTCCTATCTCCAGGACTGTGAGAAATGTGTGTCATTTAAGCCATCCAGTCTATGGTATTTTGTTACAGAAGCCCAAGCTAAGACAACCCTCTCCAAAGAAGACTGAGAAGAAAGGAAAATCTAACCTGGAAAGTTCTTTCTTCCTCTGATCTGAATCTGACTTCTAGCAGGTTTAGGTCCTAGTTTTGCTCTGAGGAACAATATGTATGTGATTCACGCTCTCCTACCTTCAGCCTTCACCTTCTGAAGCTCATTGTCTGGTTCTCTTCAGTATTTTCTTCCACAAGCTGAATTTCCCTAGTTCCTCCTCTGTATGGCCTGGTTTCCAGAAGCTTCCCACCATAGTTAGCTTGTTGCTCCATGTTGATGTGCTTTACAAAATGTAGGGCCTAGAAATGACCATCCACCTAGACACGGTTACATAGGAGCAGTCTCTATTTTCATGTGCATGTTAGAATTTTGACATAAGGTAGTTAGGGGATATTTAAAGTGCTTTAAGAATTGACTTTTGAAAAATAGACTAGATTGGTACATAGACCAAAAAAAAAAAAAAAAAAAAAAGGCTGTATTTGAGCTATTACTCTATGGTATGTGTTTTGAAGTGACCTACATGGCTACATTGGGTAATACCTACTAGAAGATCTGATCAGTCCCATATGACCTTTGGCAGGTCCTTTCTCCCATTTTGGGTCTTGATAACTTCATCAGGGAAATGGGGTGTTAAGTGGTGGTATCTAAGCTTTTCGTGGTTTGTTCTTCTTTCTTAGGGGCCCAAGTGTTTCCCAATAGTGAAGTGCAACCACCCAGCTCTGCTGCCCACAGACACACGGTTGGAGCTGCAGGACCAGATTCTCCGCCATCTCTCCTTGGAGTGAGAAATGTGGTGAGACGGGGGGTAGGTGGAGGAAAGGGGCGGGGGCTAATCCTGAGTCCAGGACCAAGAGACCAAGGTTTATTCTTAGCTCCTTCATCTGAGCCAGACTAAGTTGGAAATTAGGGCAGAGGGAAAAGCCCCTTTCCCCACTTCCCTTCTTGTGTGTCTGTGCCAAGGCGGGAGACACTCACTACGGGTGATGGTCTCCTCACTACGTGTACTCCTATTGGGGTGTCTCTCTTCTCCCCAGTATGTCTACTCACACTGGCATTTATGGGAGGAGAGGGAAGGTCTCCAGCAGTGCAAGGAAGGCGTGGCCTCCCTGTGCCACAACCACCCGTGGCCACACACCCAGGAGAGCTGAGTCTCAGTTTTAGCTTCTTCTATGCATCCCGGCCCCTCCACCCATAACGTGACCCAGAATTTCCACTCTACAGAGCGAATTACCTATAGTCAGTCCTCATAAGACTAAATCCTACCATGTCAATGTGACTCTGGAAGGAGAGAGGAGTTGCCTTGTTTTTCACAGCTCCCCCTTCAATGGTCTCTGACCCCAAGGTGTTTGTGTCTGCTGAGCTGACTTTGCTTCAGTGTTTTAGCTTCTCACTGACACTTCCACAGCCAGCCCTGTGCCCTGCCTCCTTCCCTCCCATGTCCTCCATCTCCAGGTGGGGAGCCTTTACTCAATCTTCTCTGGTCTAATCTAATCGCCCACAAGCAGCCTCTTCTGCTGCTTTCTCTGACAGACTTGATTTGTCTTGATGTGTCAGCCTTTGGGCCACTGAGGCCGTGCTGACCTCTTTGAGGAGCTTAGCTTTTGGGGTGCCCAGGAACCCACTCTCCCGAGGGCTCTATCACCCTGTTCTTCATCACAGCGGATGATGGGTTTTTCTAAAAAGGACCTGGGAGGGGCGCCTGGGTGGCTCAGTTGGTTCAGTGTCTGCCTTCCGCTGGGGTCATGGTCCCAGGGTCCTGGGATCGAGCCCTGCATCGGGCTCCCTGCTCAGCGGGGAGTCTGCTTCTCCCTCTCCCTCTGCTTGTCACTCCCCCTGCTGTGTGCGCTCTCTCTCTCTATTAAATTAATAAATAAATAAAATCTTTAAAAAATATAAAAAAATAAAGAAGACCTGGGAGGGCAGCCCACACCATGACTAAAGCTGTCGACATCTCTCCTTTCTAAGGAGGCCTTTCTTTCTTTCTCCCTCCCACCTACCCGGCAAGGGCCAGGGGCCAGGGGCCAGAGGTGGACACTTCAGCTGCCATCGTATCAATTAGACAACAGTTCTTTAGACACTGGACACGCTGACAAAAGGGGCAAAACATTACATATCGTATCATGTTTATTATATTTTAATCCTATCCTATCCTATCATATTTGTATTCATTTGCTAGGGCTGCCATAACAAAATACCACTGAGTGGCTGGCTTACATAACAGAAATTTATTTGCTCACGGTTCCAGACAGGAAGTCCAAGATCAAGGTGCCTGAAGAGTTGCTTTCCTCTGAAGTCTCTCTCTCCTTGGCTCGCAGGTGACCTCTTTGCTGCCCCTTCACATGGTTGTTCCTCTGTGCACACATCCCTGGTGTCTCCCCGTGTGTCCAAATCTCCCCTTCCAATAAGGACACCAGTCAGATTGGATTAGGGCTCACCCTAACAGCCTTGATTACCTCATTAAAGATCCTATCTCCAAATGAAGCCACATTCTGAATTACTAGGGGGTAGGCCTTCAATGTATGGTTTTGGGGGACACAACTCATCCCCTAACAATATTTTTTCCCAATCCCATCATCGACTTGTGCTGAGATCATAGCAAAAAGAACTGTCTCAAATTGCAGCGTGGGCGGTTTTCACTAGATGTAAGAAAGGTTCAGGCATAACCCAAATTCAGATCCTGGGGTGGAATCTCACCTGGGGTGAGGAAGAAGGAGTAAAGATAAAGGCGGGCATCCCAGAAAATACACATTCCCATCCATTTGGGATCCTTTCTAGAATAAGGTTAAATGAAATGATTTTTCAGTCCCAACATTCATTCATTCAATCATTTTATTTAGCAAACATCCACTGAGGCCCTCACGGTGTGCCAGACACCAGGAATCCAGAAGCAAACCCATGAAGGTTCTTGCCCCCCAAAGGAGGACTTATGTGTACTGATGTCTAAACCCTGAACAGGATGGGAGGAGGGCAGGGGCAGCCAAAAGAAGTGTCAAGAATACTATGAGGCTTGCACAGTAACGAAACCACAGACCTCAGCCCAGGATCAGCACAGGCTTGTGCATTTCCTTGCTGGCGCTCAGCAGTTCCCACACTCAGAGCAGCACCCTCTATTTGAGAGAAGCTTGCAAAAAGCATCGCCTCCCTGGGTTTGGGAGATCTGAAGGACCTCGCACTTTGAGCCAGCCCAGGGGAAGCTGGAGACGTTTCTAAGCCCCGCACCTAGGGCCGGCAGGTAGGAGGGGGGCGTGGCTGGCCCTGTAGTGGAGTCACCGTAGCCACAAGCCAGGAGGTTTGGGATCCAGTGAGCCCGGACCCTGAGCCTACTATAGCTGCAGTCAGGCAGGCATTCCCAAACCAGACCCCTCTTCCCCTTGCTCCTCACCAAAGCTGAGTCACACCCACCCTGGGGAGCCCACCAGGTCCCTGGGATCTACTGCAGTGTGAGTGGCAGCCGGACGCAGAGGCACCAGACAATCCACAAGGTACCAGACACCTCTATCTGGAAGGTAAGCCTGCCATCTAGTGTCCAAGCCTGAGAGGCGCAGGGGCAAGCAAGCTCTCTTTGCCCTGCTGGCCGCGCTCAGCCTGCGGCTTCTGCTTTGGCCACCCTCCATGAAGGCACACCACTTTGCTTTCAGGGTGGATTTGATTTTTTGGAAACAGCTAAAAGTCACTCTAAGCCAAACGGTTACTGATGGGAATACAAAGAAATAACACCGATTTTCCTCTGGGGTTTGTAACCATCTAAAGGCAAGTGATTATTTTGAAGAATATATATATTTTCAGTGAATGTCTTGAGATTAAAAGTCTCATTATTTATTATTTATTTATTTATTTATTTAATTGATTTATTTGACAGAGAGAGAGACAGCGAGAGAGGGAACACAAGCAGGGGGAGTGGGAGAGGGAGAAGCAGGCTTCCCACTGAGCAGGGAGCCCAAAGAGGGGCTCGATCCCAGGACCCCGGGATCATGACCTGAGCCAAAGGCAGCCGCTTAACCGACTGAGCCACCCAGGTGCCCAAAAGTCTCATTATTTTAAAGCCAATAATGTGTACCATGGAATCCGACTAAAGCACATCTTTAGGGAAAATTTAAAATACATCTCCCCCCCTTCCCTCCGAAATGAGTGGTGGTGTGGCTTTTTCCATGCAGGCCCGTGTTTTTGTAAGAAAGGAAGAACGGTTTCTTTGATTTAGTCAGCTGCTGAGCAGGGAGTCATCCATACAGCCTGACAGATGACAGAGCCCAGTCTTCCCTCAAGTGCTGGTCCCTCAGAACTGAGTATTGAACCCAGAGATTGGGTCTTGTTTGTCATGGGGCTTTCTTCAGAAGACTTCAGATCCAGGAAAGGGCTAATGGAGGGACACTAGGCAGGACGTCAGCTGTGTTCTTGTTTCTCAAAGGAGTGTGGAGCTCAGTGCCCAAGCCAGGGGTGGCAAAGGGCCTGGAGTCCATCTGAGGACACAGAGGGATGTGCCAGAAAGCTAAAGCATCAGAGTCTCGGCTATGTGGTCGTTGGGATCAGTGGTTGAATGGTTGCTGCTTCCCTGAAAAGCAGGAGCCTCAGAGTCCCAGACTGAGCCTGACTGAGGTGGGAAAGGCTAACGAAAGTCCTCCCCAAATCAGCAAACTTCCTGAGCAGCTCTAAGCTCCTTGTGTCTTAGGAAAAGACTCCTTCTGCAACACTTAGAGCCCTCTTTTCCTGAAGCAAAAGGCAGACCCCACTCCTAGGACCCTTGCTAACTTCAACATTATCTGAGTACAAAAGGTCATTTCAGTTGGACCAAGCCTGGAATTTAAGCTAGACCATCAGGTGTTGAGGAAGGTGAACTAATTTTTTTTTAATATGGAACAAGGTCAGGAAAACAGGGCCCTCACTCGGCCTTGAGTGTCTAGCAACTCCATTATTCCCTTGATTAGCAGTCTGCTGGAGCCGGAAGAGTCCTAGCTCATAATCACAGAAAGAATAAAAAAGTTTTCAAAAATTACTAATATTCCAAATGAAATAATGGACCTAGGTAGCAATCATCAATGAATGCTAAAATCATCGGGTGAAGGTTAATGGGGAATTCTGTGGGCTGACACTACCTAAACCTAATGATTGATGTTGGCAACATTAAGTGTGAAACATCCAGATATTATATGTCTCACAGTAAAAGCACCACCCTATGAAGTATGGGTGCCTAAAAATATTGATCCTGAATCTAATCGAGGCCCTAAATATAACTATCAGTTTACCGAGAATATGGAGGACAGAGGAACATTTTATCTGACTCCACAAGAAAATAATCAAATACAGAACACAGACATTATACAGGACAAATGAGCCGGTTCCTCCCCAAATCAATGGCCAGGATGGACTGCCTCAGAACAAAAGAAACCAAGAGACACAACCATATGCAACATGTGGATTTTGAAAAAGCCAACTGTAAAAAAGGTGTCTGAGATAATTAAGAAATTTGAATATGGACTGGGTTTAGATGATTTTGAGGAATTATTATTAATTTTGTTAGGTAAACGACATTGCGGGATGTAAAAAAGTCTTTTTTTTTTTTTTTAAAGATTTTATTTATTTATTTGACAGAGAGACATAGCGAGAGAGGGAACACAAGCAGGGGGAGTAGGAGAGGGAGAAGCAGGCCTCCCCGCAGAGCAGGGAGTCCAATGTGGGGCTCGATCCCAGGACCCTGGGATCACGACCTGAGCCGAAGGCAGACGCTTAATGCCTGAGCCACCCAGGCACCCCTAAAAAAGTCTTATCAATTAGAGATACAGGGGCATCTGGGTGGCTCAGACGGTTAAGCATCTGCCTTTGACTCAGGTCATGGTCCCAGGGTCCTGGGATCGAGCCCCGCATTGAGCCCCACATTGGGCTCCCTGCTCAACGGGGAGTCCACTTCTCCCTTTCTCTCTGCTCTCTTCCAGCTTGTGCTCTCTCTCTCTGGCTTACTCTCTCTCCAATAAATTAATAAAATCTTAAAAAATTAGAGATACAAACTGAAATTTTCAGGTGAAAAGACAAGCTATTTAATATTTGCTTAAAATACGCAAGCAGGAAAAAAGGGAAAGACATATGAAATAAGGATGGCAAAATGTTGATAATTATTGAAGCTGGGTGATGGATATAGGGAGGTCCTTTTATTCCCAATTCTGAGTATGTTTAGAAATTACCATAAACACACACACACTGTGGTGCCCCCGACACCCATGCAGATCCCAGTTCGTATCATATTATGTAAAATATAGCCTCAGTCTGGGTCTGGGGAGAACAGGTAGACTCAGATGGAAGAAGCAAGGAATGCCCTTGGCAAGTTTGGGAGACTGTTCCTTCAGGCTTTTTGGATTTGAAAAGATAACTGAAAACAACAATGAGATAGATAGCACCATATACCTATTAGAATGGCCGAAATCCAGAACACCGACAAAACCAAATGCAAAATGATAGAGTTAGTCTATGATACTATCATAATGGATACATGTCATTATACGTTTGCCCAAACCCACAGAATGTATAAAACCAAGAATGAATCCTAATGTAAACTATGGACTTTGAGTGATAATGATGTATCAATGTAGACTAATCAGTTGTAACAAGAATACCACTCTGCTGGGGGAGGCTATGCACCTGTCAAAGCAGGAAGTATATGGGAAATCTCTGTATCTTCCTACCTATTTTGTTGCAAACCTGAAGACTGATCTAAAAAATAAAGTCCAAGGGCACCTCGGTGGCTCAGCTGGTTAAGCATCTGCCTTCAGCTCGGGTTGTGATCCCACGGTCCTTCAATAGAGCCCCGTATGGGGCTCCCTGCTCAGCGGGGAATCTGCTTCTCCCTCTGCCTCTGCCACCCGCCCCTCCCCCACTCATGCTCTCTCTCACTCACTCTCTCTCTCAAGTGAATAAAATCTTTAAAAAATAAAATAACTTTTAAAAAAGATTTTATCTATTTATTTGACAGAGAGAGAGACACAGCGAGAGAGGGAACACAAGCAGGGGGAGTGGGAGTCCCGATGCGGGACTTGATCCGAGGACCCTGGGATCATGACCTGAGCCGAAGGCAGACGCTTAATGACTGACTCACACAGGCACCCCTGAAATGATCTTTTAAAAGCTACTCCAAAATGGACAGAATTGGGACAAAATAGACTTCTATGTGAGAAGAATCTAAAAGGCTACTGCTTCTTGGCAGTGCTGGGAATTGGCTACTAACTAAGCCGAAATAAGCAGCATCTGTCACAGACACACACACAAGGACATCCTCAGGGCACACATCGACAAGTCAGGACAGAGAGGAGCAGATGCACATGTGTGCCGACACACCCATGTAAACTGACTACACACATGGAAACTGACCCTAGCAGAGACCCCAGCACAGCCAGCCCCCTGCACAAATGCCCGAATGCCCCCAGGGCACCAGAACACACCTGCTTCCCAGACACTGCTGAAATAGAAATCCAAAGACAAACAAATGAACTCAGTAGCACTGAACATTAACATGTGGCTATACAGAGGCAGAAGGCTTGGCAAATGAAAACCAAACTCTCAAACATCCATCCTACTACTACAGGAACATCTCGATTAACCTGAGGGTAAGTTTAAAGTTGTGTCTCCCCCCCAAAAAAAGCGTCCATAGAAAAAAGACAGCACTTGACTTTGTCGTGCTTCATTCTTCTCACCATACATTCCCTCTAAGAGACCTCGTGTAAACTAAAGCCTCATTCAGCACGTGTCTGCTAACCACTCCCAATTCTCGGGTCTCTAGCTCTTGCCTCGTTCTCCAGCTGCAGACTTCTCTGTTCAACTGCTATTGAACATTTCCTCCTTTTTGAAAAAAAATATTTTATTTATTTATTTGACAGAGAGAGACACAGTGAGAGAGGGAACACAAGCAGGGGGAGTGGGGGAGGGAGAAGCAGGCTTCCCGCCGAGCAGGGAGCCCAATGTGGGGCTCAATCCCAGGACCCCGGGATCATGACCTGAGCCGAAGGCAGATGCGTAACGACTGAGCCACCCAGGCACCCCTGAACGTTTCCTCTTGGATGTCGTATTGTAGTTAAGGTACAGGCTAAGCTTATTTCTCCCTCCTGGAAAAATTCAGAGGTAGACTGCCCAGGGCAAGTGACAGGGCACGGCCACCTTCAACATTTTCATCTCTGAGCCCATGTTGGCTCCTTCAGTGCTGGTGATCTTTCGGCCAGTGGAAAGGAGAAAAGAGGCAGGAGAGGTTCATGCCCAATCCTTCTTTTATTTATTTATTTATTTATTTATTAGAGGCGGGGGGGAGAGAGAAAGAGAGAGCGCATGCATAAGACAGGAAAGGGGCAGAGGGAGAAGGGGAGAGAGAGGGAGAAAAGCAGACTCCCCGCTGAGCGCGGAGCTAGAAACAGGGCTCTATTTCAGGACCCTAAGATCATAACCTGAGTCAAAACCAAGAGTCGGGCGCTTATCCAACTGAGCCCCTATGCCCAATCCTTCTAAGAGCAAGACACACATCACTTCTCACATTCCACAGGCTGGAGTATGGTCATATGGTTACTTTCTGCAAGGGAAGCTGGGAAGTAAAATCATTAGGTGGGGGGCCATGTGCCAGCGACCACTATCCTTGCAGAAGGGCAGAAAGGTATTGGGGGATAATCGGAACCCAGTTATATCCCTTGGATACCTCAAATTCAATATAAATAAATGTAAACTCATCATGTTCTTTGCCTCTGCTTCCAACAGTGCCTCCTCCAATCCCCAGCTTGACAGATACCCTACCACTTACCCAGCTCCCCAAGTCAGTTTGCTGGATATTGAATTAAATGTTAAATATTGAATTTGAATTTCAGATAAAAAAAGGAATCATTTTTTAGTATCAATATGTCCCAAATATTGCATCTATTTTTATCTGCTAAATCCAGCAACCCTACACCCAAGCCAGAAGCCTTAGAGCCACTCTGAATTCCTCCCTCCTTTCCCACTTTCTTTCTTTTTTTTTTAAGATTTTATTTATTTGAGAGAGAGAGATAGAGAGCATGAGTGGGGAGAGAGGCAGACGGAGAGGGAGAAGCAGACTCCCCACTGAGCAGGGAGCCCGGCATGGAGCTCGATCCCAGGACCCTGAGATCATGACCTGAGCTGAAGGCAGACACTTAACCGACTGAGTCACCCGGGAACCCCTCCCCTTCTTTTTCCCACTTTCAATTGCCTTCCAAGCCCTGCTGATTCTTTTCTATAATATTTCTCATTCTGTCCCTTCTTCTCCGAGATATCTCCACTGTGACTTCCTTGGTTTGGGCCATCACCCCCTCTCTCAAAGACTCCTGTAATTGCCTTCCACTTGGCCTTCCTGTTTCCAGCCTTGCCCCTTCTAATTCATGCTATGCACAATAGGTAAACTGGTCTTTCTAAAACACAAACCTGACCACATCACTCCTCTGCTTAAAATCCTTCCATTGTTCCCCATGGCTTTCAGGATAAACTTCAGACTGATTAGCCAGGCTGATAAAGCCCTTGATCGTTTGATTTCTCTTTCTCCCCTGATAGGCCTGTCCCTAACTTATTTTAGGCACATACTTTTGTTCCCAAAGCCCTTGATGCACTGTATTGCAATAGCTGACTTGTCTGTGTGTTTCCCCAAGCACATTATACATTTTCCTTCAGGGCAAGGACTATGTCTTATTCATCTTTATACACTGAGCAATCGGCACTAGTAAACAATTAATCAATGTTTATTGGATGAATTATGGTTTTCCAGCTTGCATTGTTCCTATTCCCATCCCTGTCTAGTTCAACATGTCTTAGTCGGACATTTTCCTCCATTCCAGATGTGGACCTTTCTGCACCAGTCTTAAGCCAGTTAAACCTTTATTCTCACTGAAACTCTCTGAGCTCTGATTTCCACGGCTCAACCACGATGAAAAAGCTTCTTGTCCACTCCATTACGCTCCTACCTAATGGACATTACGATAAAGAAATGACACCTTACCGAATGAGGCCCTAGCCAGTGCCCCTCCTGAGCTGAGTTTCAGATCATGATTCCAGCTGACATTGGGCAGCTGTTAGATGAGAGTTTCTCGCCTGCCCTCCCAACCCCCACAATTTGCCCCCAGCCCTTCCTCATCCCCTGGGGAGTAACTTCTCTCTCTCTCTCTTTTTTTTTGTTTTGTTTTGTTTTGGGCCACAGCAGTGTTTAGCAGGAGCTGGCAGCCATGCCTTGTTTGCGCTGTGATCTAACACCAGCTGACAGGTGGGTTTCGGGGTGTCTCTGGGGCCGTGGCCTGTTTAGTGGATTTACCACTCTAAACTCAATTACAGGAGACTTTCATGTTCCACAGGCAATTCCAGTCCCTTTTTGATAAAAACTCTGGGGAGTAAATAAGTCAGGATGGTGATAGGGGCCTGCCATTTAATATTCATTGAAGTACACATGTTTGGAAATTGGAAGCAGAGTTTAATCCATTTTCATATTTATATCAACATGAAGCTTTAAAAAGGACCCCTCCTTTTCTCCACCAATCTTGTCAATTCCTCCTCTGGAAAGATAAAGGTAAACTGGATATAAACTTTTTTTTTTTAAACTAGAAATATGCAAAGTTATAATAATTGAAGTGTGAGCTTCAGATCTGTTCATTTTCAACTAAGAACTAATTCTTGCATTTCATTTGAACTCCCGGGAAAGGCAGGTAACAGATAAACCAAAGTCACTGCTGTTTCTGACGGCTAGACTTTTGGATTTGACTTTGCTATGGGAGCTCAGTGAAAAGCAGATGTTGGGAATAGAGAGATCTCAGCTCCAAGATCTTACAATTTAGGGGAAGGTTTCACAGCCATTCCAAGTAATGTAAAAGCACCCCTTTTAAGATAAAGGCAAGGCTCACAAAAAAATAACAAGCGTTCATGCTCACCAATAAAGGTTACAGGACTGTTCAGTGAGGGAGACCCGAAACCTGGGGAGAAAGAGTTAACACAGGGGAGGGGGTGATGTGTTGTTTTGCTGTCCCCCCACTCTACCTTGTTTTTTTTTTTTTTAATGTGGATGAATGTTTAAGTATGGCGCTGTGGTCAAAGGCATCTCTTTTAATAATGCAACACACAGCTTCCTGAGGGGACAGCCGTTGATTTGGAAACTGAATATGGTGCACTCTAAATTCTCCTCCCCAAGGAAGGCTGACTAACTGATAAGTGCCACGAGCTAGCATGGGGACTCATTCTGTCAAATCAACTTGCTGGAAAGGCCCCATGCAGGATCTGCTCCAGTCTCTGGGAGCTAATGTGAGCAGACACTTGTGACATTAGACAGTGCAGCAGGCCTGGCGTGAAGGAAAAGTTCACCAACCGCCAACAAGGTGGTCTTTAGATGACAAGGATAAAGAAATCAGTGCAAATTTGTTAATGTAACAACTTGGAAAAGTATGCTTTCAAAAAAAAGCCACTCTATGGGGAGAGAGGATCAAAAGGAAGAAAGGCAACAACAGGACTTGGAAGCTTTCTTTGGGCTTTCTGTACCTTTTGTGATATGGCCTTTTCTCCTGGTCCTTTTTCTCTACTGGGGAATCTTCAGTTACATGAGTGAGGCCCACTGCACAAACCACTGCTCCATCTAAAACCAAAAAACAAATAAAATAAAATAAAATAAAAGTAAAGAAAGGAAAATAATGAAGAGAAAAGAAAAGAAAATGCTCGTGCTTTTGCCTTACTGGGGTAAGTAGCATGTCTCCTCTTTCAGATGGGTGATCACCTGACTATTTCTGAGAATTCTCATCTGTCTGATCCCGGTGCATTAGTCCTGGAGGAAAACTGAAGCAACTGTTATCTGGGAAGAGACATGGAGATAAGATGTTACCTGTGTGTCTGACACAAAATGTAAGTAGATGTCTGTAACTGGATCAAGTATTTTAAGAATCAAATAGCACTACAGGGAAAAAATGGAGTTATTGATATCAGATAGAGGAATTTGATGGTGTTGAGTGTCTGATTCAAAGAGGTGGTTCTGCCAAGGTTTTTCCCCCTTGGTGGGGTAGTATAGCATACTTCTTCCATATTTAAAATAGAAAAAAAATACATAACTTTGAGTATGGTGAGCTGAATCAGCTCTCCCGTGGCAGCTGAAAGAACAAGGGCTCTGGAGAGAGATACCCTGTGTTCAGGTCCTGGCTCTGCCACTGATTAGTCTGTGATCTTGGGAAAGTTATTTCATAAAAACACTTACCTCGTAAGATTATTCTAAAAATACCTGCTTCATAAGAGTCTCATCACGAGTGAATACATGTGAAGTTCTGAGTTGAGAGTCTGGAATATACTAAGGGCACCATAAATTTGGCTGTGATTATTATTTAAATGAGTTTCCATAGGTTCTTTTTTGAAATCCAAATTCAATTAATTAACATATAGTGTCTTATTAGTTTAGAGGTAGAGTTCAGGGATTCATCAGTTGTATATAACACCCAGTGCTCATTACATCACCCAGTTACCCCAACCCCCCACCCATCTCCCCTCCAGCCACCCTCAGTTTGTTTCCTCTGGTTATGAGTTGGTTTCCAAACCCAAAAGACTCCACCCCAAAACTTCTAGAACTCATACAGGAATTCAGTAAAGTGGCAGGATATTAAATCAATGCACAGAAGTCAGTGGCATTCCTATACACCAACAACAAGACAGAAGAAAGAGAAATTAAGGAGTCGATCCCATTTACAATTACCCAAAACCATAAGATACCTAGGAATAAATATAACCAAAGAGGCAAAGAATCTGTACTCAGAAAACTACAGAGTACTCAAGAAAGAAATTGAGGAAGACACAAAGAAATGGAAAAATGTGCCATGCTCATGGATTGGAAGAACAAATATTGTGAAGATGTCAATGCTACCTAGAGCAATCTACACATTCTATGCAATCCCCATCAAAATACCATCAACTTCTTTCAAAGAAATGGAACAAATAATCCTAAAATTTGTATGGAACCTGAAAAGACTCCGAATAGCCAGAGGTATGTTGAAAAAGAGAAGCAAAGCTGGTGGCATCACAATTCCGGACTTCCAGCTCTATTACAAAGCTGTCATCATCAAGACAGTATGGTACTGGCACAAAACAGACACATAGATCAATGGAACAGAATAGAGAGCCCAGAAATGGACCCTCAACTCCATGGTCAACTAATCTTCGACAAAGCAGGAAAGAATGTCCAATGGCAAAAAGACAGTCTCTTCAACAAATGGTGTTGGGAAAACTGGACAGCCACATGCAGAAGAATGAAACTGGACCATTTCCTTACACCACATACAAAAACAGACTCAAAATGGATGAAAGACCTAAATGTGAGACAGGAATCCATCAAAATCCTTGAGGAGAACACAAGCCTCTTCGACCTTAGCCGCAGCAACTTCTTCCTAGAAACATCGCCAAAGGCAAGGGAAGCAAGGGCAAAAATGAATTATTGGGACCTCATCAAGATGAGAGGCTTTTGCACAGCAAAGGAAACAGTCAACAAAACCAAAAGATAACCGACAGAATGGGAAAAGATATTTGCAAATTACATATCAGATAAAGGGCTAGTATCCAAAATCTATAAAGAACTTATCAAACTCAACACCCAAAGAACAAATAATCCAATCAGGAAATGGGCAGAAGTCGTCTTCTTTTTTTTTTTTTTTTAACATATGTATTATTTGTTTCAGAGGTACAGGAGGGGAAGAACCTATAGTGGGGGGGAAATCGGAGGGGGAGACAAACCATGAGAGACTATGGACTCTGAAAAACAACTGAGGGTTCTGGGGGGAGGTGGGGGGGTGGGTTAGCCTGGTGATGGGTATTAAAGAGGGCACATTCTGCATGGAGCACTGGGTGTTATACGCAAACAATGAATCATGGAACACTACATCAAAAACTAATGATGTAATGTATGGTGATTAACATAACATAATAAAAAAAATAAAAAAAAATAAAGTGCATTTTGACTTAAAAAAAAAAAGAAATGGGCAGAAGACATGAACAGACATTTCTGCAAAGAAGACATCCAAATGGCCAACAGACACATGAAAAAGTGCTCAACATCACTTGGCATCAGGGAAATACAAATCAAAACCTCAATGAGATACCACGTCACACCAGTCAGAATGGCTAAAATTAACAAGTCAGGAAATGACAAATGGCGAGGATGTGGAGAAAGGGGAACCTTCCTACACTGTTGGTGGGAATGCAAGCTGGTGCAGCCACTCTGGAAAACGGTATGGAGGTTCCTCAAAAAGTTGAAAATAGAGCTACCATATGATCCAGCAATTGCACTACTGGGTATTTACCACAAAGATACAAATGTAGTGATCCGAAGGGGCATGTGCACCCCAATGTTTATAGCAGCAATGTCCACAATAGCCAAGGAAAGAGCCCAGATGTCTATCAACAGATGAATGGATAAAGATGTGGTATATATATAATGGAATATTATGCAGCCATCACAAAAATGAAATCTTGCCATTTGCACTGACGTGGTTGAACTAGAGTGTATTATGTTAAGCGAAATAAGTCAATCAGAGAAAGACAAGTATCATATGAGCTCACTGATACGAGGAATATGAGAAACAAAACAGAGGATCATAGGGGAAGGGAGGGAAAAATGAAACAAGACAAAACCAGAGAGGGAGACAAACTCTAAGAGACTCAATCTCAGAAAACAAACTGAGGGTCGCTGGAGTGGAGGGGGTGGGAGGGATGGGGTGGCTGGGTGATGGACACTGGGGAGGGTATGTGCTATGGTGAGTGCTGTGAATTGTGTAAGACTGATGAATCACAGACCTGTACCCCTGAAACAAATAATTATTATATGTTAATAAAAAAAATTAAAAAGAAAAACACTTAAAGAGTTGGTTTCCATAGGTTCTTAATGACTGTAACTAAAAGGAAGGGTTCCGTGGTCAAGTAAGTTTAGGAACCAGGTTTAACACAATTAAGCATTTTTTTTTAACCGTGGTATTTTTCAGCACCTTTGTTATGTAAACATGCATGATGAACACCCAAGGAAGAATTTGCTTTCTAGTATTTGATCCTATAAACCCTTTTCCCAGCGAATGCTGTTCCTCAAGTAAAGGAAAAACAGTATTCCCAAACTCTGGTTCAGGAGTTAAAGACATTTTTGAGTCATGGTGCCTGATCCACTAAGGCAATAATTTATTTTTTAATCGTTTTTTGTTTTTCCTAAGTAAGCACTCCGCTGAATGTGGGGCTTGAACTCACAACTCCAAGATCAAGAGTTGCATGGTCTACTAACCCAGCTGGCCAGGTGCCCCCTAAGGCAGAAATTTAAAGCATGGTAATTGATTACCATACAGACCTCGGAGGTCTCAAAACACTCCCTTTTAAAAACTAGTATTTTGTAAAGTGGGATTGCAGGAGGCAGAATAGTGTACGGTTAAAACCCAGACACTGGAGTTGGACAGACCCAGGTTTAAATCTGTCAGGCAAGTTATTTCCTATCTCTAAGTGATCAGTGTCCTCAGCTGTGACATGGGGTTGGTGGGGAGATTTACCTCCCCATTAAATGAGGTAATGCCTGGCTCTGTCAGCTATTGTCGATGTATATATCCCAACAGAGGGGCTAGTATTTGCCAACAGATAAGGAATCGGTCATTTTGTGCCCAACTGCTCTATCAGTCAGAGGCCTTGGTACCTCTAGGATGCAGTGGAAAAAGCACTGGAATAGGAGCCGACATCCATGGGTTTTAGAGCACCTTTGTGCTTAACTGAGCAGATGAGCAGAGAGGACATATTTACCAAGATTAGCACACTTCTGTGCCCAGTTTTCTCGTCTGAGAAAAATCAAAGCAGCATGCACACCTTTCCTGCTTGTCTCTGGGTTACTGTAAGGCCCAGAGAAGCTTGTGTACATACGATTTTCTTAAACTGGAAAGACCTACTGCTGTTGCAGACATAACTCCTTGAAAGCTTACTACAGTCCACATAGCGTACTCGGTTGCCGGAGTCCAGCTCCAGCCGGGGTGTGTCTCTCGTAGGAAAGGACGGCGTCGGCGAATGAGGAGACACAGACACAGGGTCGGGTTGCAAGCATCTCCTCCTGACAGCCTCGGAGGAACTTTATTTATATGTTAGGATATCTTTGTTTTTCCAAATCTTAGATCATTTTCTGGATTACAGCCATAGCCTTCTTTCATTTTTCCTTTGTAATGATTACCATGACCTTTACTGATTTCCGCTTATTGGCTTTCACTAAAACTAAAAAACAGTACGCAAAGAGAAAGGTGCTAGACAGAGCGTGACCGTTTTGTTATTTTGTTCTATAGAAACTAATTCTTTGTGGAATTAGTTTCATCATGATTGCTTAGATAGGCGTAACTAAGATGAGTAGTCACTTTATCACGAAACCCCAGAAATATTCCCACAATTAAGATTGCCATAAATAAAATGAAAGAGAAGAGCAGGAGCCAGCTGTGGAGTCTCCTGTTTTCAGGATCGTCCCCCACACTTGGACTTTGTCAAACAGCATGAGCAGCTTGGCTCGCGCCACTCGGTCTTACGTGTAAGGCCTCATTTTAATCTTCACTACGAGGTGGGTATTATTATACCAATTTAAGGGATGAGGAAACAGAGGCTCAGGGAGGCTAGATACTGCTGATTTCCCCCCCAAGCTCTCACAGCTAGTAAGTGGTAGAGTCAAGAATCAACTCCCGATTTGTCTGACTCCAAAGGTCCTAGAACCACTGTACTTCAAAAATACCATTAAAATAACATTTTAAGTTCAAAGTCAGCATTGGCCACATACACTTTCTCCACTAGCATCTACAGGCATCTTTTTGATATTGTAAAAATCTCTAACTTGGACAGCAGCCACCAGTTAAATGAAGATGCAGCACTGGGTAGAAAACAGAATGATCGACGCAGGATCCAGCCTCTTAACTGGATGATGATTTATGGACACTGGCCGGCTGGTTAACTTTCCCTGGGACCTGTGTATGTTTGCTTCGATTATTATCATGACTAGCGTATGTCGGAGGGCACCAACTCGGAGGAAGTCGTAACCTGTGTTAACTGATCTCTAGCTCCTGAGAGCTCCTGGATGGCAAATTGATGTACACAGCAAGTGGCTTCACAGACTGGGGCAGAGCAAGGTCTGTGAGAGTGGGAAAATCCATATTAACAATATGCTATAAAACACTTTTTGTTAGTTATATATATTCCTTTACTTTCATTTCCCAAGAATAGCTCAGCTGTCAAAGCATTTCCAAGATTTCCATAGATTCGGCAAATACTGTGCGATCGAATTATTGCTCTGAGAGAAGTTGCAATTAAAACACATTAATCATTGTAACAAAGGATCCTTATTGAGGCTGACAAAGGTGGTGAAATCGGATGAATAATTAGGCTGGTTAATCTTTTAAAAGTGAATTAAACTGCTAACAAGTTAAATCACTATGATTTTCAAAATAAGCCTCCAGGGTGAGCAGAGAATGGGATTATCATCTTCATTTTTAAAAGATATTTTCTTCCTCATTCTTAATCTCTAGGCTTGTACTAGAGGCCCTGGGTTACAACACTGGGGCCCTGAGGAGCAGCTGGGGGGAACAAGGCTGGTCAAGGTGGGAAGGCATGTTCTTCACTCCCCCGCCACCGCACAGTGATTTCTTAGTGTATCTAAAATGAACAGTAGATAGAAGAATCATGCATGGATGACCTTTAAATGTGATCCAGAACTAACATGGCACCTGCTCACCAGCCATTCTCAATGACCTAAAGTGGATCCATCACGCGGTCCTGATTTCATCCCCACCGTAAGCCAACCAACCATGACAATGAGGTCCTTCTACGATTTCCTCTTTTGCTCTTCTCTCCAGTCAGATGGCTTATTCTTCCAGACAACACCTCTTCTCTTTGTATTTCAATTACTCTGGAAGGTTTGCCACGCTCTGAAATAAACCAAGATAGACATTACAGACTGATAAGTCATGGGAAATGGACAGAATGGGACAATAATCATTTGGGCTAAAGTCTTTTTTTTTTTTTTTTAAGATTTTATTTATTTATTTGACAGAGAGAGACAGCGAGAGAGGGAACACAAGCGGGGGGAGTGGCAGAGGGAGAAGCAGGCTTCCCGCCAAGCAGGGAGCCCGATGCGGGGCTCGATCCCAGGACCCTGGGATCATGACCGAGCGGAAGGCAGACGCTTAACGACTGAGCCACCCAGGTGCCCTGGGCTAAAGTCTTGACGTTGGCTGAGCCTCCACAATTCCGGGGAGTTCTAGGGGATGCTATGATGTGTTGTCCAGACCCCCTTCAGGAAGGAAGGACTTACTCCTCCAGCAGCTGGGAAAGCTGCTGGAATCTGGCCTTCAGCTGTTAGCCTTGAAAACTGCCCCTCCTCAACAAGGTCACACTTCCTTCCAGACGTAGCTGACATCCAATTGGCCAAATTACTTGGGGTCTTGACAAACAAACTGCTAAGAGAATAAGCAATACCCACAGAAAAATTAATATGTCCTGGGATCTCCCCAATCACTCTGGCAATTTCCAAGCTACTTTGATTATTCTTTAATCTCCTGGTGATGCCCTTGCCTCAGGTCACTGTGAGAGAAAGCCAAATTTAAATGGGCTTGCCATGAATCGGACCCATCTCTATCTTAGGCTTGAACCTAGGGAATCGTAACAGAACTGTAAAGTATCAAAGGAAAGTTTGGGAAGCAAGCTAAAACTGGACCTCAGAGAAAGGCGAAGAGGAATGGAGGTCACTTGGCCCAGGATAAGGGAAGTTCTGTTCACTCCCTTGCAACGCAAAAAGTCTATTATGAGGAAAGTGTTCAGTTCTTCTTTGACTTTCCATAGGAACAAACAAGATTGAAACAGAGAGGACTTTACTAGGATTACCAACACTGAACATTGAAAACTTCAGAGAGATTAAATCAAACTAGTGTGTGTTCTATTTTTTATTTTCAGGATTGCCTTTAAAATATTTTATTTTGGGATGCCTGGGTGGCTCAGTCGGTTAAGCGTCTGCCTTTGACTTGGGTCATGATCTCAGGGCCCTAGGATCAAGCCCTGAGTTGGGCTCCCTGCTCAGTAGGGAGTCTGCTTCTCCCTCTCCTTCTGCCCCTCCCCATGCTCCTGCTCTCTCTCTCTCAAATAAATAAAACCTTAAAAAAAATATTTTGTTTTATGGGGCGCCTGGGTGGCTCAGTCGTTAAGTGTCTGCCTTCGGCTCAGCTCACGATTCCAGAGTCCTGGGATCAAGCCCTACATCGGGCTCCCCGCTCCACGGGAAGCCTGCTTCTCCCTCTCCCACTCCCCGTGCTTGTGTTCCCTCTCTCGCTGTGTCTCTCTGTCAAATAAATAAAATCTTAAAAAAAAAAAAAATTTTTGTTTTATTACTGTGTAACATACTCAGATGGTTACAAAGTTAAATCTACAGAACAATGTATATTCAGAGAATTCTAACAATCCCTGATCCTCCCACCTTAATCCTTCCCTCTCCCACAGGAAGTAATTTTATGTCTTTACTTTGGTTTGGCCTATATTCCTTTTCAAAAAATATCTTTCTTCCTTTCTACTATTTCTCTTCAGTCTTTGTCTATTGTGCTTCTTCTCTTTTGAGTTTTCCTAATTTAGTCTTTATTTCTGAAATAAATCTCTTTCCCTTTATTTCTAATTCTTTCCTGGGTCTATCACCTCATTTCCGAAATTTTCTCACTCCAAGTTGCCATTCTTTTAACTCTTCTATCATTTTCTCGATTTCTTTTAGCTTCTTTGAAGTATTAGGATATACTTTTCACCTTTTTTGTGACCATATTTTTCTAAGTGGTTGTAATTTGGGAGTGAAAATGCTTCCTTGATGCCCCAGCTTCAGTGACCTACATCTTCCCTCCTCTCTACAGGCCTCTACCTATCGCCAGGCTTTCCACCCCTCCCCACTCATCCAGGATCTTCCTCTACCAATTGCTGTCTTTTCTCCTTTTCTGTACTTTTAACCTCTCTCCCTACTGGAACTTTTCCTTCAGCATAGAAACATATTTGTATTTACCTATCTTTATTTTTTTTAAAGATTTATTTCTTTATTTATGAGAGAGAGAGAGCAAGTGGGGGTGGGGGTGCCCCTGTATCTACCTATCTTTAAAAACTATGATAAACTGCCTCCTTCCCACCCTATATCCCCCTTTAGCCATCTTCTTCGCTAATTCTTTTCTTAGCCAACCTTTTGCAAGGTTTTTTTTTTTTTTTTTAAAGATTTTATTTATTTATTTGAGACAGACAGAATGAGAGACAGAGAGCATGAGAGGGAGGAGGGTCAGAGGGAGAAGCAGACTCCCTGCCGAGCAGGGAGCCCGATGCGGGACTCGATCCTGGGACTCCAGGATCATGACCTGAGCCGAAGGCAGTCGCTTAACCAACTCAGCCACCCAGGTGCCCCCTTTTGCAAGGTTTATCGGTATTACTTCTTTTCCCAATTCCTCCTCAACCCATGCTGTCAACCCATGCCGTGTAGCCCGTCTCTACACACCTCTGCTGAAACTCTTGCAAAGGTCCCCACTGACTTCCTTGTTGCTAAATCCAATGACTATTTTTCAGTTTTTATCTTATGGGACCCCTTTCTACTCTTGAACACAACTGACCACTTCCTCTTTCTACAAGTGCTCTCTTTTGCTAGTTCTCTTTCTCTGGTTTCTCCTTCCTTAGCCAATCACATACATTTGCTATTCTGTGGGGGTGGAGGGGGGGTTCTGTCCTTGGTCCTTGTCTCTTCCCTTTTGGCCCACTCTCCCTGGGTGATCTCATTCACTGCCTCAATTTCCACTACTACTCAAATACTTATAACTTCCTATTTACTTATTTATTTACTCACATTCCTCTTTATCTGAAAATGAACTTAGGATACCTCAGTAAAATATACATTGAAAAAATTAACAGAAAGTCTAGGCAAAGGGTGTGAAGCAAGGGAAGCAAACAAAGTAGAACATAAAATTTGGTTCTAAGATTTCCTGCAGTCAGTGCAAAAAGGAAAACAGAACATTGCACATGTTTCACAGTGTTCCTGAAATAAAAGTAAACAATTTGTTAAATAGAAGCACAAAATTTATGGTTCTGAGACATAAGCATTTTGTTCCATGGGTCCTCATAAAGGGGACACTGCACTGTGTTATGGAGCATCCTCACAGTATATTAGCAAATACTACATTTTTCTACAGGTTTTTAAGATTTATTTATTTTATTTGAGAGAGAGAGAGACAGTGTGTGTGTGTATGCTTTGAGCACAGGGAGGGGCAGAGGGAGAGAACCTTCAAACAGACTCCCCAACATGGGGCTCGAACCTATGACCCATGAGATCATGACCTGAGCTGAAACCAAGAGTCGGCCACCCAACTGACTAAGCCACCCAGGTGTCCCTTTCTACAGGTTGTTTTAAAAAAACTAATGCCTCTTGATATTGATGAATTAGATTTTTTTCAAAGTAAACATATGGATGGTCAAAACCATGTATCCCAGGTACTCTGGTTTATGACAACTAAGCCTTTAATTTTCAAACTTTCTCTAATAGCAGCCTTTGTTAAAAATGAAATCTCGCGAGGAGTCCCAACTCTTAAAACCAATTGAGCTGGACCAGATCTGGTTGAAAGGGAAAGCAAAGCCCTGTTCCTTCCATCTCCTGTCCCTCCCCACCCATCCTGGCTGCCTCTGAGGTTCAGCAGAACACTTCTGGAAGCCATCATCCTAACTTAGATTGATGCGTAGATTCAGAGAATCGAGACTTGGATGAAGTGCTGTAGATCACTCCCCATCACTATTTTCCTAAGCTGAATTTTGGATCAGCACTGACTAAGGATGTAGGGAAACAGTTATTCATCAATGCAAATTAGTGCACCTATTCTGGAAGACAATCAGGCAATATCTATAAAAAGTAGTACTAAGTAGTAGTGAATTCAAGGTTCTATTCCCAAACACATACAAGTATTCTAAATTGCCATTTAAGTGCAGACCCATATGATGACATGATTGGCCAAGCTGAAGATAGGATCAGGATCCTCTTAGGCAGTGGTTCTCAAGCTTAAGCTGATATCAGAGTCACCTGGAGGCTTGTTAAAACATAGATTGATATAATCCCATCCCAGAATTTCTGATTTAGTGGGCCTGGGAAGGAGCCTGAGAATCTGTATGTCTCACAAATTCCCAGGTAATCCTGTTGCTGCTAGTCTGGGGACCACGGCTTGAGAATCACTACCCTTTAGGAAATTTAAGGAAACCTAAAGTGGTCACCCCACCTATCCAGACAGGGCATCCATTTGCAGGTATATAATACTCCTCAAAATATAATTTTGAATATAGTGTAACCCAAATGTATGGAACAATCAAGGCATTCAAGTGATGTGACTTAACATGGCAACAACAAATGTTGTAAGTAAGAAAAAACTGAAAACCTCATTGTCACCTTGGCCTTAAAAATATACATTAGTGGGACGCCTGGGTGGCTCAGTCATTAAGAGTCTGCCTTCAGCTCAGGTTATGATCCCAGGGTCCCTGCTTGGCGGGAAGCCTGCTTCTCCCTCTCCCACTGCCCCTGCTTGTGTTCCCTCTCTTGTTGTCTCTCTGTCAAATCAATAATGTCATATAAATAAATAAAATCTTTAAAATTATATTACACACACACACACATTAGTAAAGAAGCCTAAAGGTCTAATTGAATGAGACAACCTCCTGGTAGACAAAAACAAAGAGAAAAAAAAAAAACAACAAAAAACCTAACATCTCATTGGTTTGATTTACTTTAATTCTGAGTGAGATTTCATGTTTATATTTCTTTTTCTGTGAACTATCTTTTGATGCATATCCTTTCCCTATTTTAATAGGATTATTCATCTTTTTCTTAACAATTTAACACAACCTTCTGTCAGCCATTGGGTTGCAAATATTTTTCAAGTTTGCT